AAAGAGGTAATGAATAGCCTAACTTACAGAGGGCTTAATGAGTAGAATAACTCCAATGGGTTCTTTGAACAAACAATCGTCCCCTCAATGCCAACAAAAACCCAAGTATTTAAAGCCAGTAAAGCAAACAGGCTGAAAGATATCTTCAGATGGAATTCTTAACAAAAAGCATATTTGGAAAGTCGTTTTACTAATTAATGAGTCCTTTTTTATAAGCCTTACTAATCTAATTTGTGGAAGAGCGACTCTCTCTTGCTCAGCTGCTCCCACTATCATGAAAACTGCCATACATTATAACATTTAATGAAATCTGCATCACTGCAGGACTCCTGAGTGGCTCTGTAAGACATGTCAGGTGTCTGTTTGTATTATTGAGAAAAAAAGAGGATAAACAGTCCATATGTTGCTCTCTGCACTCAATGATGGAAAGCATAACTCTCCATTTGGGAGATGGATAACTGCAGGTTGTGGAGCATCTGCTGCATCTTTCAGCCGATGCATCAGATTTATGAATCATAAAGTTTTTTTCGCGGGCACTAAAACAACAGGGCAGGGTGATACAAATGTGCATCACAGCGGTGTTGACTTTAAACATCACATTCTTAACTCCTGGCTGTAAAAGCTGCAAGCGAACCCACTATGACAGCGTGACTCATTAAAATGATCCAGTGACACACTCGCCGCTACCTCTCAGTAGGAATGATTTCGCTTCCCAGCAGCAGCCGCGCTCAGTCTCATGTGTCAGATTTTTTGCATTTCTAGAGGCTTTGCCTGAATCACAGCTCGGAGGTTGAGTCTGAAAATCTAGCTCTACAAAACGACCAGGTTATTTCTTTCGAGGGTTGGTTGAACTTGTTGGAACTGGGGCTGAAGAACTCAACCAAATATTTGTTGATGTAAGAGAAGATACAAGAGAAATCCCTGACAATCCTGACAGGCAGCCATTTTAAATGGCCCTTAGACGGTAAAATAAAGGGATCCTTTCTTCAGATTTTATGCCAAAATTGATTCAATTATTTGTCTTTGTGTAGAAGCTGAAACCTGCTCAATCTTTCAGGCTTTTAGTAAGGAATAGAAATATGTACAAATTCAAATACTATTGATTTGTCTGCTGATTCACAAAGGAGCACTTCTGCACATCCCTCCATCCTTCCCTCCTGCTGCTGTCAGAAATTGAAATGTATTGGTCTCACAATGGAGAAATGAACTCTCTGCATTTAACCCATCCCCTTGGGGAGCAGGGGGCTGCCACTGTGCAGCACCCAGGGAGCAGTGTGGGGTTAAGGGTCTTGCTAAGGGACCCAGAGTGGCAGTCTGTGGGGATTGAACCTCAGATATCCCAAGTTCCAAAAACTCATTTCAGGGAGATGCCACGGTGTCATCATTCCTCACCATGGGCGGTTCTAGACAGGGGCCAAAGGGGGCCAGTGCCCCTGTAAATCATGTCCTGGCCCCTGTTATGTAACCTGGCTCCGCATATCCATCTGGAAACCTTCCGTTGAAGTAATTTTGGGAAGGGGCGAAAATACTGGTTAGCTGATTGGCCTATGTTGGTGATAGACGGGACAAATAAACCAATCAGATCAACGAAGCATATGACGTACTAACAGAGCGACGACGAAGAGGAGCCAATTGATAGATCAAACTCTTGCCGAAACCAGTCGGGAGAAGAGCAAAAACATCTTTTCCTCTGAGAAAAGCCTCCAGAGCAGTGTTTTGCTCTTCTTTCAGTGAAGAAATACTCTGTAATTCCGATAAAACTTCGACTGAAGCCGCCATGGTCTTTAGACTGAACTGTCGCGCTTCTCGTTGCGTCACACCTCAACCCGCCTCAAAGCCAACGCTGATTGGACGTTCCTTTAGTGAACGGCTCCAAATTTTCTTCAACGGAGAGTCTCCAGACTGATTAGCGAGTGAAATCTTGAAAGCGAGTGAAATCAGGATGATCTCACGAGGCTACCTGTTAAGGCCCCTCTACTGAAGAAATAATACTTAAAAGAAATTCTAATGATGATATGCGCTGGAACAGACATGGTTACTATTTGGTCCTTTGGATCTATTTCATTTTTTTTCTTTACAAATTATGTTTTACTAATTATTCACTGGTATTGAGATAGGATCCTCTAATTTTTACCGCTGAATTTATCATTTTTTCTCGGGTTCTAATTCAGATTTTATAGAAAATGGTCATTTTAACTTAAATTAAGTAAAAAATATGTAAAATTCCTAAATTATAAATTTATATTGACCTCATAAGAAATAGAATTTTAATTAAACCCAATTGAAAAGAAATTTCACTTCATTAATATTAATATATTTGAATCACTTGCCCTGTTTTTTATTTCGTGTTTTTTCTGGGTCCCTATAAAAAAACACGCTGACCCCCTCCTGGCCCCCTTATACATTTGATCTAGATCCGCCACTGTTCCTCACCATCGCACAAATTATTGTATTGCCTGCTCGCTCTCACTGGCATTAAAAAACATCACCTCTCATAGTCTAAAATCCAGGATAATTTATCCGACTTGCGGGTATCCGTGAACAACTATCTATATCATGGAGACTCCCGGAACTTCCTGCTTTAGTCTGCTTTAACCACCAGGCTAACAGACTCCTGGGCGAGTGTTAGACTTTCTAATCGTTCCTCCTCCCTACAGGCTCCAAAAAGTGAAAAACAACCAACTGGTTGCAAAGAAAATTATACACTGATTGAGAATTTACTCTTTTTTATTCAAAGCTTAATGATTATTTTCACAGTTTTTAACCTTTTCTAAAATTATTTTTTTTCACAGTAATGTTTTTTTTTATTTTTTATAATCCCCTTAAATATGTTTTTCTTAAATTTCCTTTTCAACCTCATTTGTCTTTTCTAAACACCTGCAGAGTATTTCTTCCCTTCTGGGAGATGTTATCTATTTATTTTTCTTTTGTACAGCCTTAGTTTTCTATTTTTAATTTGTTTTCATTGTTTAGTTTTGTTTCCGTCTACTTTTCCACTGTCACACCCACATTTTCACACCATGGAGCAATACTTTCTCTTTTCCTTCTGCTCTGCAGACACTTTTTATAAAGAGAAAAAGCCAGAGGCCTCTGATTAATCACGCACTATGAATCAATCCAATGTCTTTGCATCAGTAATTCACTTCAAAAATACAACTGCTGTCAGAGTCGGAACCAATTGGATGGAACAGCAGCATTTCTCCTTCTCAATCATGAAATGCTTGCAGAGAGTTTATCTATCAATTATAGTGTTAATTAAAATGAAGTTGCAATGAGCTCTGCTACAAACCGCAATCAGCTGTAATTAAGCCGATGATAAGATGATCTGGAGACTCCGAGCATTGATTATGGGTGTTTTTAATTAGCGATTTAATGAAAGTTACAATGCGGACCTGCTCACTGAATAGTGGAAACAAAGGCTTGGAGTTTAAGTTATTAATCACATGATGAAACTTAAATGTCTCTGAATAGAACATGATTAAATATATACATTGCATATATTTTAAGACTTTTTTAACATAACATTCTGTGACCTCTTGAGAGGAATTACTCCTAGATGGAGTTTATCCCTGTATTAAACCCTAAGTTTTAAGTTAAGAATCAAATCTTTCAGGCACAGAAGAAAGCTGATGTTCCAGGATTTTAGGATTTTAAGTTACGTTTTTTACTCCAAGTTGGAAGCGCAGAACACAGCAAACATGATTTTGAGTCCGATCTAATATAAAATGGTGTCTTGGAGATCATGACGCTCATTGAGAGTGAATAGGGATGAACACACCCAACAATATTTTCTGCAAGGGGGGTTGAATAACGAGAAAGACCCCCTGTTTTAGTCAGACTATGCAGCAATTTCAGCAGCATTGTCTTTGGTCTGACAGGAAGAGAGACGTGGTTTCAAAGTAAAACACATCCACTTTGGGGGGAAATGCATAAGAATCTCACAATTAAAAGGGAAAACGGTCTGGTTTGCCTCGTTTGGACTGGGCAGACTGGGATCAATCAATAAAACTTTTAAATAAACAATAGAATAATGAACGGAATACTTAAACGTGACAGGAGTTCAGGAGGACAGAACATTGATGAAGGAAGGGCAAGTTTATTTATATAGGACTATCAGTACAAAGACAATTCAAACTGCTTTACATAATTTAAGAACATCATAATTAAATGAATAAAGTAAAATATTTTAATGACATATACGCTGCTGTACAACCTCTACCTTTGAAAAAATAGTCCGAACGACCATAAAAAAAACAGAACTGATGCTGATCCATTGTGAATATTGCTTAATGCAAAAAAAAAAAAAAAAACCTGACTTAAAACGAAACATTTTCTCAAAGATTTACAGGCTTTTAATCCTTTAAAGAGGAAAATCCCAGTTATAGAACATGTGTGTTTAAATCTGTACATGTATTTATGTTTGGGGAAACGTTCTTGAAAATGTTGCCGAATGAATTACATAGGAAGTGTTTTTTTCTTTCCTTTAAATGAACTCCAAACGGCTTTGTAATGAAGTTTGCTGGGTTTATTACTTGTGGAATCGACCCAAAGTCGGTGAATAAGAAGCACGGTTTGAGAGATAAACGTGGACGTTCATGGAAGCCCCTGAGCCGTTAATAGCACTCAGTCTGTGAACGTCTATGTAGATACATCAAACACGCCCTTTATATTAGAATGTAAGAGCTAATCTGTGGATTACTAACTGTAAATGCTGCTTGAGATGGGATTAAAGTGGAAACTACATGTGGTGAAGATTGAGTTAAATTCAAGTAGAGATCCAAGGGTTGAGTTTGAACCAAGACTAAAGCCTTTTTATTACTGATGTGTCACTCAAATCTAAATTCGGTGTTTAGGAAATCCTGACGTCTTTTAAACATCATTTCACTGTGAAAAATACCCATGTAGGAATCGTAAGACTGCGGGTTTACATGTATAATGGTTGAATAACCGAAGACTTTGTTTGAACCGTGGCTCAGTGCTTCTTCTTCTTTTCTCTGCAGCTCTTCTCGCCGGAAAGAACGAGGCTGGAATAAACTTCAGAACCAGACATGGACGCAGAACCTCACTTTCAGTTTCACCTGTAATGGTAAGGCTTCAGATTATTCACCCCTTGAGTTTTGAAAGGATTTGAACACTGCAAAAAATCTTTTTCTTTTTTTCTTGAAATAAGTGCA